TCTCTCTGAAATCCTAATTTTCTCACATACTTTTAATGCTTATTGTTGTCTTTCCCTAATGCATACCTTAAAACTTGAAAATTTTACTTTAATATTGATGTGTAACTTTTCCACAAGGAATAATAACGATTCCTAACAGCAGTCTTTGAACTTTCCGGAAAGAAGATGGGGCCCCACATCATCATTTCCACTTGACTCAACCTGATGCATCGTAACTACAAACATCACCCTAAAACCGGTTTGAGACTGTTTTGCTCGAGACAACTCATGACTAGCTAGCTGTAATGGTGCACCTTTTTATTACACCCTGGCCAGTTTCAAATAGAACTACAGTCAAGAATTTTCTGCCACACAGTGACTAACTACATATGTCACAGCCAGTTCTGTTGAGAAATTTGGTTGCTAAAAATTTTCTTCCTACAGGATCCATTGGAGCAATCATCGTCCCATTTCAGCAGGAAGTAATCTTAATATGACTACGCCCCCTTTCCCTACCCTTGGAAATTTGGGATAATAGTCATCGTCTTTGGGTTGGTTTTAGTTATTTGGGATTGGGTGATGCTTACACTCGGGTTTATCTTTTAGACAGGAATAGGGAATGGTGGGTAAAGGTATGGTTTAGATGGGATATAAGTAGATTAGCCTATTTCCTTGAGAATTTGAGTTTGAATGAGATAGTATTTTACAGCTTACATTGTTATGCATTCCTATGTGGTAAGCTATGTAAAATTAAGTTTATATTTTGTTATATTGTGTTAAATGTTTCCACTTATAATATTTATGCACATTATTTTTTACCATATTCTATGTATGTATACTTTTCTTGTGTTCAAGACATTTTGTATATTGATACAATTTGGGATATTTATCTTGCTGCCCTTTATAGTTCTACCTCTTGTCTTGACACTTATACTCTACCTCTATTTTAGGGATTTACATGTAGGTATATGTAAATAGTTATATTGTTTAAGTATTTGTTCCTGCTTTACTCAGGAAAGTTTTAATCAGTCTTTTTAGCTAAGTTCCCGAGTATTACAGATTATCTTCACTCACATTTCCTGTACCTATGAGATTAGTCAGATATAGATGCTTAATCTTCAATCCTTCATAGACATGCAGAACATGGCATTTAAATGTTTTAATATTAGTACTCCTTTGACATGAGACACTGTTGCTCCTGACAGCACCGTGCATTTTCCCGAAAATATGTTGGACACTGTTGTTGCTCCTGCTGGAGTTCAATCTCGCCTCAGCTAATGGCCTGTTGGGCATAGAATTGCCCCCACCTTGACCACTGATTTGGACATGCAGTCCTATGTGCTTGCAGGAGACAAATATAGAAGACTGCTTGACCTTGCCAAGTCAGGGTAAGACAGCCATTCTATTTCCCTGCTGTTGTTGTGGTCTGTCAAGTTCTCTTGGCCTTAGCCAAATCTGGGTGTACCAACGTCGCTGTGAGACCTAGGGTGACTGTTCAGGTGGCTTGCTGTTTCTGTCCTTGCTGCACCGTTTTGGAAGTTGTCCATCCGCATTTCCTGTCTACTCTAGTATTGTTATTTTCCTTCTCAGGTCTTGATGAGGTTGAAGATTAAACTATCACAACTATTATTCTCTCTTCCTAGTTAGATATATTAGGTACTAGACTTACGTTTTCCAGCTTAGGACAACTCTATTGTAAACTCCATTATGCCCTCACCCTAGGACTAGATATGTAGGTCATTTTGTTCTCGATTTTCCTTTTCTTAGAGCACACTTGTTATTCACTGTTTTGTATATAGTTTTGTATTAAGCCTAAATCTTTTCTTTAGACTAAAAGGGGAATTGTAGTGAGGTAGTCCTTCTGTAGCACTGACCACGCCCATTGGGGGGTGGAGCGATGGGCGGAGGTGACCTGAGGAAGGAGGTCGGAGGGGGCCAGGAAGGCTCTCTTTCTGGCGTGACTCGGACAGGAGAGGATCGGGTTGAATTTCCTGGTGTTCATCTGTCTAGGTTGTAAGTTATTTCTCCCTGAATAAACATCTATTCGGCTTATTTGTTTATCCTGATCCTTATTTACCGCAATATAGCAGTTATGAAAAATAGAATGGAAGTGCCTTGAACAAGAAGTAGGAACATGGCAAAAAGGCAATAATGTTAATATTGTGTGTGTTCAAAGGAGCTGAGATGCTTGCATCAAAGATACATCTGCACACATGCTGATCGCAGCACTACTCCCTACAGCCAACAAAAGGAGTCAGTGAAGATGCCTGCCAATGGATGACTGGAGTAAACTTGATGGAATATTATTCAGCCATGGAAAGAATTAAGAACATTCTTTGTAATCATACTGATGGAACTAGAAAACATTATATGGGGTAAAATAAGACAGGTGGGCAAAGGAAGATGCCACATGTTCTCATTCACCTATGAAAGAGAAGAAAGTTGATCACCCTGAATGAACAATAGTCACTATAAGACAGAAGTAAATGGGCAAGAGAAATGGAGGAAAGCTGGATAACAGATGCCAAAATTTGACTGAGTAGGAGGAATCAATTTTCCTATTCTATGTAAGACAACTATAGTCTATGACAATTTGTCATATTCCTCAAAATAATTAGAGAAGAATTTGAAGGCCCCCTACATATAATAGTGTGTGCTGTCAGCCACCCTGATAAGATAAACAAATTCCTGAAATGACCGTACTGCACCACATAAGTATAAGTAAATATCAATTAAAAATCAAAATAATTAATAATAGATTTAAAAGGTAAACAATTTTGAGGGAAAGATATATAAACAACAACAATATAAAACTGGCTAAGTACATTAAAGAAAGCTCAACAAATCATCTAAAAATGCTGGTTATGGTGTTGGAGTACATAACTCTCAGATGCTCTTGGTGAGAATTTAATATGGTACAATCATTTTTTTTAAACATCAGGCAATTTCTTTTAAAACTCAACTCTCATTTGTGCTATGGCATAGAATTTCACCCCTGCTCATTCACTCAAGAGAAATGGAAACATGCTCATAAAAGACCTGAACAAAACATTCATACCAGCCTGGTCACGTATAACAAATGAAAACTAAAACCAGCCCAGGTCTCCATATGCATCAGAAGTCAAAACAAAGTAATTACTACAGAAGAATACTATTCACCAATAAAAAAGATTAAACTACTGCATATCGCAACATGGAAAATATAAAAGCAATGGCTAAAAGAAAGTCTTACAGAAATTGTAATGGGCAAGAATATATGAAGTTCTTGGGCAGGCATAACTAAACTAGGCAAGAAAAATGAGCAATGGTTACCTCTTGAAGAGATGACCGAATGTGAAGAACTATGAAGACTGTTTTGGGACTAAACATTTATGTCCTTTCCAAATGTTTATTGTTCAAAGTTGAAAAGCCCGATATGGTAGTATTTGAAGATGGAGCCTTGAAAAAGCAACTGGGCCATGATAATTAGGCCCTTATTAATTGGATTAGTGTCAGGACCTTCTCCCTCTTGAGTCATAGTAGGTACAATGAGAAGATGGTAGTCCGCAACTCAGAAAAGGGCCCTCCTTAGAATTCACCCCTGCAGGCACCCTGATCTTTGGTTTCCAGCTTGCAAAACTAAGAGCAGTCAATGCCTGTAGCTTAAGAATGTTAGTCTATGAAAAAGTTAAATCTCTGAACCAGTAAGGACTAGGGTAATTTTGGAGGTAATGGCGACATTCTGTATCTTGCTCAGGCTTCATGGGTATGTGCAGCTGGCAAAATTCAGAGAGAACATAGTTAAGATATGTGCACCATCTCATTGCCCATATTCTTATGGCAAAAGAAAAAGTAAGCAAACAACTGAATGATGGTCAATGGTACAAATGCCAAAGCATTCAGAAGAAAACAGCTACAGATTAATTTAAAATGCATCAAAACCGGCACGATTAATAAGTGGCTAGAGAGGTGAGCGTATATATGCATAACAAAATGATAATAGTAAAATATCGGCGGTCAGTGCACAGTGTTACGCTCAAAACACTTTTAAAAAGTACTCTGGTCTTGTGTAATTTTAAAGCAAGATTTTATAAAACAATGCTTTTAATAGTACCTTAAGAATTTCTACACAACAAAATGTAGTTTATGTTTTGAAAATTAAAAACCTCATCTGCTAATGACAAATATTAGTCTTTGATACATGTCCAAGTTAAGCAGCAAAAATGCTTTCAGATAAGGAAAAACATTTAATCTTGTCAGGCACAGTGGCACACAATTGCAAATCCAGCACCCAGGAAGCTTAGTTCAATTGGAGAATAAGTTTGAGGCCAGCCTGCACTACATAGCAAAAAAAAAAAAAAAAAAAAATCTGTCTCAAGAACAAAGAACAATCAAACAAACAACAAAAACCTAACCTCGAACAAAACTTAAGCTGTGGCCAGTAAGTTAGATCAATGGGTACAGAAGTTGGCCACCAAGTCTTTTGGACCTGAGTTCAGTCCCTAGACTCCTCCCTCGATATCCACTCAAGAGTCCTGGGGCATCCTGTGTTCATGTGTGCACATACAGTAGCTTCTAAAAAGCAAACCAAACAATACAACTTCAGAAAGATCACTAGCCTTTGACTAAGGGAAGGAAATAAACAGATTTCTTTTTCTCTTTAGAATTCATAAAGTTGATTTATGTAGGCATGCTTTTCAGGGGATAATTACAAATATTCAATGATTATAACTTATCCCAGGAAAGACTCAAGCAGAGCTCATATTTTTATGTGACTACATACTTCCTAGGAATTTTTTTTAGCTTGCTAAAGAGAATGTTTTTAAAATATATTTTTAATAAACTGTAAACTATTGCATATAAACTATCACAGGGAAGCAAAATATGAGACTTATAAAATAACATAAGCGTTTTCTTGCTTTGACCAGCAAACACTAATTCTAACCTACATGTCCATGAAGGTCTGCATGTGTATATTTACACACTCTTAGATATGCAAAGCTCTCAAGCAGGAGTGCTCTGCCGGCCGGGTTATACATTACCTCCAGTATAGGGTTTCCAGTTATAATGCTTTCCCCGGAAAGGCATATTGTCAAAGTCTGCACACTGTTTTTCTCGAAAATCTCGGGAACCCAAAGGGCATGGCTAAAATAAAATAAAATCATAAATGGTACCATTGTTGTAAAATACCAAAACCAAGGGACAGTGTCCCTAAAATTTGTATTTACTGACCACCACCCTATCTCCTCTGGGTATCCTCTGACTTTTGTTTTACCATTTTATAATAAAGACTCACACTGAGGTGTCTGAGTCTTAAGTCTAAGTGAGAAGAAATTATTGCAGTGACTTAAACTAAGTGCTAGAAAGTTGCCGTGGAACTTTACATCATACCTCCTTACAGAGACACTCAGAAACCAGACAAGAACCTAGAACACAAGACCCTTGGTAACAGTGTCTGAAACCCAGGTGCCGAGGCTCACTGCAGGTTTACCTGAAGCACTGAGATGGAGAGTACTGAGCCAGCATCTAGCTTGTAAATTGCCATTTGCATCCCCCACCACTACAGATGCTCCCTGATGAAAACCAGAAGTTGACCTGGGGAAAATGCTAGGATTCAACTCCAAGCGCCTTCAAATTCAAGAGGTTTGGACTTATTAAAATGTAAATTTCACCTTTTAATATCACCGAAAATGAAATGATAAATTGGTACCAAATGTGCCCGTTTTTAAGGGGAAAGGAAATGGTACAGAAACAATAACTGGTTATAAAAGTTTGGAATGTTTCTTTTACCTGAAAATTTTAAAGAGAAAATCCTACCAGTCTAACTAGGTCTCAATTAGAAATGTCACAGTCATCCTTTATTCAGATCTAAGTACACAAAGATTGAAAGTATAACATCTCATGGAGTGTTTGAGCAATAGGACACTCTGATTTATCTTTTCGATTTCTATTGCATTGTAGCACTTAAAAATAAAAAAGCTATAAATTTCAAAACACTAAGAAAACTTTCCACTTAAACACAGAACAGAGTATATCATGAAAGAACAAAATGGGAAGAGGGTAATTTTGGAAATCCAACCCAGGGCTCTGTAGATGCTGGGTAATAACAGTATGTCACTGAACCACATCCCCAGTCCTGGAAATACTTAGCTCAGGATAAATGACAAGTGAGGTATAGGCATCCTCACAGACAGTCTTGAGAACTTTCCCCTAGACATCTCCCCTAGACATTTACCTTTGCTTTGTACACTGTCCAAGATCAGTAACTAATAGTAAATTTCTATGAAATGTGTAAAAATAATAGGCCATGCTGTACAAATATTTACATGACTGTTATTACTTACTACAGGCTATGGCTCAAAATTTTTAGCATATTAAGTCCAAAACTTCAGAATTGAAAATAGTGGCAGAAGCTGTACATAATGCTATGAGCCCAAATCTTAAAATATACTCAATGCAGTGAAATACTCCATCAATTCCAAACCTAAGGCTTCTTTCTGTGTAATTACTCTTTTGCCTACTTTTAGCAAGTATATCATTCTATTCTTGCAAACCCTTATTTTCAATATTTGCTAGTATTTGGATCTTTGGAATACTGACATTGGACATTGCTACATGACATTGTCATCTACAACGTTCGTGGTCAAGAACCATACAATCAAACTACAAACAGTCAAAACCTGCAAGAAAAAAAAAAAAAAAAAAAAAAAAAAAACCTCACAATGTTTTAAATGTTTATGATTTGGGGAGGGCATATTCATAGTTCTTATTGATTACATATGTCTGATAAATAATATGGTTGGACATAATAAGGAATGTTTTCTAACCTAGTTTTCCTTTTTTAAATACTAATTTTTATTTGTAATTGAGTTTATGTGTTTAAGGGTACAAGAGAATATGCACATGAGTGTAGGCAAACATGAAGGCCAGCAGAGGGCGCCTGATCCCCTAGAGCTACAGTTACAGGTGGTTGTGAGTCACCCAACATGGGTTTTGGAATTGTATTTAGGTCCTCTGCAAGAACAGCCCATGATCTTAACCACTGGGCCAGCTCCCTGGTCCCTTTCTTAGCTATTTTCAAAGACTCTTTCATGAGAGCTAAAGTTGTCTGTCAGTGGTTCCCAAGCACCAAATATGTTCTTAAAGCAAATACCAATTTCAAAAATATATGTAATTTGAACTATAGATACAAGTTTTCACCTAAAACAGTTTAAACCACTTAGAAGTTTATCCAAGCACAGTTTTTAATCTAGTTGAAAAGACCAGATTGAGGTGGAAAAGTACATAACTATTTCAGGAAATATAAATAGCAAACAATAATGTCTTACAGCTTGTCTACAGGTGCTGCATGTGTGAAAGACCAATATGCCATGTAATAAGTTATGAAAGCAAACTTTGACTTTGTCCCAAAGTATTACAATTGAGATAGTTAAGACAGGAAAAGGGCCTGGAGAGATTGTTAAGACTGTGTTGGGAGGATTATTGAAAGGGAAGCCAAGTAAAGCTATGCAGGCAGGAAAGAAGAGATTATTTGTACTGAATGGTAGACACGGCCATCCTATACCAAAGTCAGGAACTGTACAGAAACACAAGGAGAAACAATAGGTCTCACACAAACACCAGTATAAAGCTCTGAGTTCACACATTAAGGCACTCATTGAATGCAAAATTAAAGCTGCTGCTTTCCAGTATTTCCTGGGGACCCTTTAAAACAGAAGAAAAACCAATAGTCAAAAATGGAAGCTGATGTTTAATGAAGCACTTGGGTGACATGACATGAAGTTTCTTACCTATTCCTTTCTTCTGAGTGCCTCTCCTAGGGTCAGCTACAATAAAATTAAAATCATTGTTGTAAATGTCGCTTAACTAGTTCTAAGTACACTATGACAGACTTCAGAGATCTTTAGGTGTGTTAGCTAGTTAATCCCTAACAACACACTCATGAAGTAATCATAATCATTTTACAATGAAAGAACTGAAGTACAGAAAGGTAGAGTGGTCATGTCGGGCCCCAACGGATGTATTTACAAAAAGAAGAGACAGGTCAGATTTGATAAGTTTTTGAGCCAGGACAGAATAGTATCTGTCAAGAACTGATGTGAGAGGAGATGCAGTACCATTTGAACAGATACTTAGGCTTTATCTACAATTACCCATCCTCAGAAGGACAGACAAACACTTTTCAGAGGGCTACAACTGTTAGCAACTTCCTTACTTTCCATCAAACTTGCCATCTTACAACTAAGTGGTTTTTATTCTTTCTTCTGAATGGATGGATACTAAGCAAATCTTCCTAGCCTGAATGATACCCAGGCCTTGATAAGTTTCTTTTATGTACAAACTAATTACCCAAGTTACCAAGATTGGTAACTTGGCCTAGGATTACTTAACAAGTATTTAAAATTGTATAATATGTATCAGATATAACCTGGGCTTTGGGGGTAGAGGGAAAAAGAAATCCCCGCTTTCATGAAACTTGCTGTAGTTTGGCATGAGAGCATGATGAAGATGGGAAGAGGGAAGTTGATTGAATCACTGAGGGAGTGTGGAAAGAAACTGAGAGGCCTGCAAGTACAAATGCCTGCAGGTGGAATTATTGCTGCATTCACAGAACAGAGTGCAGGGCTAAGAAGGTCTGGATAGGACTGTTTCCATGTCTTTGTTTCTAGATGTTCTGTTTTCAGTTCTCTCCTGAGAATGCTCTGAATTTGTGAAGAGTAAATATAAGCTAAGCAGGAATCACATTTGTTAGTTTGGAGATGACCAAAGAGTAAATAAAGGAAGTAATTTCTGGAAGAAATTTGTAAAACCTATTTTGTTTAATTTTCTTTAATCGAGAGTTTAATGTGTAGTATTTTTTTAGGTGACTTAAGGATGGTAATATCTATACTGTCCTAAAGCCAGTACAGAAAACAATGTGAACACTAACCAAGCATCCTCTTCCCAAACAAGGAGAGCCCTATGGATCCAAGAGCAATTCCACAGATCTCAGCCTCCAGGGTTTGTATTTTCAAATTAAAAACAATAACAACACATTCTTATCACCATTTTTCCAGATAGGTAGGCATTAACACATCTTATAAACTATATTGTACTTTCAACTATTTGGATAGATAATCTTACCTTTTGCCTAAACTCAACATATCTTATTGGTAGATCAATCTAGAAAGAAGGCTAATCCACTGACTGGGTGTAAAAATTGCTACACAGAGGAGTTTCAGTGCTTGCTAACAAACTTGGATGTGGCATTCCTATTACAAGACTTTAATCCTGGCTCTGTCTCAAGGAAGAGGGTAACCTTGGCAAATTCTAAATCTCTTTACGTCTTTCTTTCATTTGTAAAATACGTCCCAATGCCCTAATCTCGAAGAAAAAATGCATCCCAAATGCATGTCTTACTGGACACTGAGTGAGAATGGGCTAAGAATGGAACATTTCTTTCCCCTTTCCTCGCCAGACCCTGAAGGAAACTGGCAGAGAGGACAGCATCGACTTCTGCATCATCAGAGATAAGCAGGGAAGCTGCTCAACTCTCTTGTGTTACTACTTTCCTACATTTTACAAGTCCCGTCTTTCTGCCTACACGCCCAGTACACACATGCTTCACTCTTCCCATGCTTGACCAGCTTTCAACACTCTCAGAGGCTTCCTTCTTCAGGAGAGCAACATACTCTGCTTCAAACTCAAATGCTACTCTACTTAGCAAGCTGTACATTTGACAAGTTAGTGTGAAGCATGAACACGCTTGATCGCCTAGCCAGACAGACACCTTTGTGTATATTACACAAAGATATGGTATGGGCTAATAGAGGTCTAGCTTCTGGATTTCTCTTCACAAAATCTCCAACTCCCCAATTACCACATTCTATCTTCCTGTTGAACTAATGTGGTCCAGACATAGGAACTTCCAAAATTAAATGTGATAGTCGCATATAGGGAGTGTGAAGGAGAATGGTAACCATAGGGTCCTACATTGGAATGCTTATTTCCCAGGTTGTGGAACTGTTGGGAGAGGATTTGGAGGTGTAGCCTTTGTTGGAGAAAGTATGTTACTGGGCCTCTGTCTCTCTGTCACTCTCTTCAAATATTTCTAAGTTTCTTTGTTTTATTAATTTTAAATAAAAAAACAATCTTATTTTACATAC